TGCTGGTATCACAGGCATGTGCACCACATCTGCCTTTGGTGGCTGGCACGGCGGCGTGGCATACAGTACGGGAGACTGAATCTGGGTCCTTGCATTTGCCAGGGAGGTGCTTAGACTGCCAACGTATCTCCCCAGTCCTCACTCTTAACTTTTATTCAAGTAAGCGTAACATTTTATATTTGCAATTATTTTCCCTCTTCAGTTTAAAATATTTTATTCCTTTTGGCCTTTATTATTGCTGATGATAAATCTGAAAATACTTGTATACTTGTTCTTCTGTAAGTAATGACTTTTTCCTCTGGGCATAATTTCCACTTTTTCTGGTTCAAGGTGATATATGACCTGTCCAGTGGGTTTCATTTTATTTTAATTTTTGGTGTTGCTGGGGATTCAACCTAGAGGGTACTAATGTGCATTCCTAGCTTTTTTTTTGTATTTTGAAATTTATTTATTTATTTATTTATTAGGTCTTAGTGAATTATCAAGGATTGAACACGTTAACATCCTGTTTCAGCATCCTAAATAACCAAAATTATAGATGTGCTCCACCATGCCTAGCATGAGCTTCTTTAAATATTTCCTCTCTGTCTTTGGTATGCTTTAGTTTCCTGTGTATGTGTGTGCACATGTGTGCATGCTTGCTTGTGACCATGGTTCTGCTCCCATAAGTCTCTTTTAGATTTGTTTAAATTACATGTTTCTCCATACAAGTTCTATGTAGGGCTTTCTACTTTCGATAACTTGGAAAATGGTGCTACCATTGCCCACCTTCTTCTACCAATCCTTAGAAATAATGCACTAACATTTTTTGTTTGTTGATAAACAGCAGAACTTGGGATAGAGGAAAAATCTCAGGATGACTGAAACAGCAAAAAAAATCCTAAGAGAATTAGGAGTATAAACTTATTAGTTGGCCTCGCAATGTCTTGAGGGTTAGATGGACAGATGGACAGATGGGCAATGGTCACAGGTATGGGCTCCAGTAATTAGATGAAGGCAGAGAAAATGGCCCAGGAGCCATAGAGATAAATGATGAAATTAAGCAACTGTAAGAATGACAAGAGAACTGAAAGATGAAGCAAAAGAGTGGAGACAAAGTAAACAAAGAACGACAACAAAAATGAACTCTGAATGTGCAAAACTCCTATTAAAAAAGAATAGATGCGAATTTTCTTGATTTCATAGCAGTGTGACTAGTGATCATTACTGTCCACCTGACTGAGCTAAAGGATGTCTAGCAGATTAGTGAGACACACTTATGGGTCAGTCTAGGGGTTGCGCAGGGATGATTGACACATAGGTCAGCCGACTGATGAGGAAGCCTTCCCCTAACTGTGGGAGGCACCGTCTAATATGCTTGAGTCCGAGTGGGCTGGCACAGGAAGAAGGAGGAGGAAGCGGGCCTGCTGCACAAGCTGTACTCTGCCCGAGCTGTCGTGTAATTACGACTGCCATCTCCTGCGGATATCAGACTCCAGCTTCTTCGGCCCTTCCACACGGGCTCACGTCAGTGACCTTCCAGAAGCTTCTGATCCTTCGTTCTCAAACTAATATTGTATACTTGATCCCTTTTGTTCTAGGGCTTTGAGATTCTTTCCCTGAGCAGCTACTGGTCCCTATGGCTTTCTAGCCAGAACACAGCCCTGTAGACTATTCCATCTGGTTCTGTCAGTCTATCTAGTAAGTCTTCCTGAATAATTACCTACGTTTGCTTTTGGTTCTTCTAACCAATACAGAGAGACTGAGAACTTAGGGCAAAGTACAGTGATTCCAGAGCAGAAAAATTGAAATTTGTATCATTCAGATCTACCAACTTCTGGCCACACTATACCGTAAAGCAATGTTCAAAAAAGATAGCTTCACTATAGGTTATATATTTAATGAACTTTCTCTTGTTACTTGGGACAACCTCAACTGTCACAGTGGGGTATGACAGCAAATGTGCCATGAGTTGAAGAGATTACTCAAGAAGACCCAGACCCTGGGCCTGTGCAATGGATGGGAATTGAGAGTGGTCTTGTGATGGTGTCATGGTTTGAGTTTTGTTTTCAAGAGGAATAAGACAGCACAGGACACACATTATTAAGATTATTTTATAATCACCCAAAGAATTGTATATAAAAAGTGCAGGAAATCTGTCCACGCACTAAAGACCAAAGAACCCAGCTGAGGGCCTGTATTTTAACATCTGGCATTATTTCATCTGAAAACCTAGAGCTCATATCAATTCCTCCATCAAGTGCCACTGGAGGCCTAGAGCTCTCAACAGTGTCTCATGCAGGCCCACTTCATTGATCTATGCTGGGAAGGCCCAAGGTCAGTGGTGGAAGCAAGAAAGTCTATGCCAGCAGGATGGAGGATCTGTGCTAGCAGGCTGAGGGATCTGCACTGGAGCCAGGAAGCAACACTAAAGAACCAGAGCTCCCCTGAAAAGTCCCTCAGCTGTCCTCAGCAACAGTGGAGTCCTGAGCTCCTCTGGTGAGGAGGACAGCTGAGTCCCCATCAGGGAAGCCAATGCGACAAGCTTCTCCAGGAGACTGAGCAGTGCATCATCTTCCCCTCCAGAGCCAGGAAGTGATGCTCAAGGTGAGGCCCAGAGCTCCCCCAAAGTCAACTCTATCCATTCCCAGCAATAATGGGGTTCTGAGCCCTTCCTCCAGTGAGAACAGCCCTGTTTACCAAGAAAGCCAGCATGACAAGGTCCCCCAGCAGAATAGCCCAAGAGATCCAGCAGTGTGTAACAACACCAACAGCTTCTCCAAGCAGCTTCCTTAATAGCCTCATAACAGCTTTTCCAGTTCTGCATTATATGCTGCTGGCAAAAATCCCCAGTTAGGCTTCCCACACTCAGTACCATGCTAGTTCAGTTCAGCTGTGTGTAACAAGTTGACCATCCACTGAACTATCCATAGATAGCTAAAATATTTTTATCTATAACAGCTGTGTGTAACGAGTTGACCATCCACTGAACTATCCATAGATAGCTAAAATATTTTTATCTATAACAATATCATAGAGAGTCCAGGACATTTTGCTCAGAGCCAAGGAGATAATGTGCCAAGTGACAGCTGACCCTGCGCAGTGTTACTTCTGCATCCTACCCCTATGCTGCTGCAGAAGCTACTGTGTACGAGAGGGGCATCAATGTTCAAGGAGAGAGATGGACTCCACCAGCAATCACAAGGAAAGAGTCAGTGTGCTGTAAGCCAGGGTTTTCTCAGCTGGAGATTTAGTGTCAGGCTTCTCAAGGGAGTAGAGAGTGACTCACCCTTTGTCTCATCCCTCTCTCCTTAGCACTTTTGCTTTATGCCCCACCCTGTGTGGATTTGGCAGGGTCACAGCATTGGGCTATGTACATCTATCTCAGCAATCTGCCCAGGAAAATGAAGACAGTGGAAAGAGAAACCGTGTGAGAACTCTGTTGAACTCAGTAAGCTCACTGTCTTTTCCTGGACCTCCCCTGTGGCACAGAACAGGTTTCTTGTACTGTTTTTTGTCATTGCGCAAGAAAGATGCTACACCTTTTGTCCACACCTGGGATGTTTCCTTGGCTCCATGCCTGTAGCCTGCGGTCGCTGATACATTTGTCCACATGTGTGATGGTCTAGGTTATTTATTTTTCCCAATTGTACAAAGTGCCTGAAATGCTTAACGTACATAGAAAAAAGCTTCTTTGGGCTCATGGTGTTAAAGTTTCCACTTCATGCTTTTATGTCTCTGGCAGGGCTGCTAGGTGGCAGTGGTGGGGAACATTCTAAGAGCCAAACAGCTTATTTCATGGCTGAGAAGCAAAAACAAAGAGGAAGGGGCTGGGTTCCTTTCTCCTCTTTGAGGACATGCCCCCAGTGACCTGAAAGCCTCCCACTGGCCCCAAAGGTCCACCACTTCCAAATAGTGCCCCCCTTGAAACCAAATCTTTAGCACATGGACATTTGGAGGACACTCAAGATCCAAACAATACCATGACTCATACTCAGCCCCCCGGTTTTGCTGCCACCATGAGGCGCCATCACCATGCCCCGAGCCATTTCTATCGGTTGTCGGCTCTACGGCCCCTTTCGGTTTATTTCCATAAAAGGAAAATTCATCGTGGTTGTCCCCATAAACCATAATTTAGGGCAATTTGTTTTTGTCTCTATAAATAAAATTCTGAAAAGATGAAGAATAAATAATACTGGAAAGTTTTACCTACCTAAAATTTTATTTCTTTTAAAGTCAGGTCCCTCTCGGTTCATAGCACCAAGTACAGAACTATAAAGTTTGATCCTCTGAGGTCACCAGTTGTCTTAGTATTTTGTGCTACTTAATATTTCGTAGCCATTGTTTTACTGATGATAACACAAGTTATCTTTTTAAATATTTGTTGAAAAATACTGTGACATTCAAAGTGAAATAAAATATAAGTTGTGACATTAATAATTTTTTAACCATACCTAAGTCAAATTATATGTTGGAAAAGTAAAGCAGTGTTAACACCTTGAGCTAACAGCACCCAGGCTTCTTCCTTCATGTGTTTATTTGTAAAAGAATAGAAAAGACAGGCGGTGACCACAATGACCTAGCGTCACATGCCAAATGCAGGCTCCTCATTCTTAATTCAGAGCACAATGTCAACATTTGATTTTGCATGGCAACAGGTTTCAATAGACACTGAGGACTAAGAAATCATTCTATAATCCAGAACTTTGACTGAGTATAAAACTCAGTTTGTAATTCTGCAGGAAGCTTCCTATGTGAAGGTGGCTAAGCACTGTTAGAAATCCTTAAGAAAGAGGTTGAGGAGGAAGAGTTTGGAGAATTTGAGAAGAGCTCAGTTCTGATGCTTAGCCGATTTCTGATGACAACAGGCTTACCTTTTATTACAACTGTATCTATTAGCAACGAAGATTTCCTTGGGAAATATTCACACAAGTCCTCTCATTCCTGGAGAGACTTGTCACTTTTTCATGTAACAGCTCTCCTTTCTGTCTGAGTCAAAGACAGGAGCTGGGGTTTTCTTTAGGCTGGATGTTCCCTTCCAGGAGTAACCTGGAGCTTCAGTAATCCGAACATGGGATTCAAGAGTTTCGACAGCACTGTCACTGCAAAAGAGTATTTTGAGCCTAATTAAACTACATTCAGTTCCTCTGTAGAACACTGTCTTATTGCTATGAGTAACAATCTTTGACACATTTATGGGTACTTCTAATACTTTTAATACTTCTACAGGGTAGAAGTACAGGGTATACACCAGTGGCCTGGTGTGGAAAGTTGAATTTTTTGAACCATCTCCTATCCTCAGTAGAGACGGCACACAGGGAAGAGCCGACTGCTAGAGCCGCACACTTAGTCATCACTGCCGTCTTGCTCTTCAGAGCACACAAAAAGTAGGCTCTGTGTTTGGAGTGATTAAACTGTAAGAAAGATGGGTAACGCTGCATGCTTCCCATGTTTAGCTTTCAGTATATGTCTAAGTTGGTGTCAGTAAGAGACATTTTCCGGCTGCGTGAGATTGTTGTTCTGGGAAGGTGCAAACTTCTTATACCCTGTGGTACTGAGATAGTGCATGCTTCAGAAAGGACCTCTTCTCATTACAACTTCTCATGCTTGTTCAATTACAGAGCCAGTTCAGGGGTTCAAGGCGAGGTGTTTGCAAATTGCTACCCATAGTGCCCACCTAACCCTCAAGCAGCAATCTTTCCTCCACCCTTCTGTTGTATGATACAGGACTGTGTGGATGTCATGAAAATCTCAAAATGAAAAGTCTTTCCTGCTGAGTCACAGTGCTCAATGGAAATTCGGGAAAGATGCGGCTTCCTAATTAGGTATTCAGATGAGGAATCTCAGTGCAGCAGAAAAAAGTTGGAAAGTGAAAATAGGAAGAAAATAAGCCGCTCAACAGTATTGTTCATTGTTCTTTTAGAACAGAAATGTGGGCCTTTTCTTTTTCTTTCCTCATTGGAGCTCACTAAAACAGACATGTGGTAAATACACGGCACCTGTGCCGTAGGCCACAGCAAGTCAAGACTGCAGGAGCCCTGTCAGAAGCTCCTCTTTACGTTGCCGAACTCATCACGATTTATGCAACCATTACCACAGATGTGGTAAAGAGGCTGAGGATGAAGGAGCCTTAAGGGTCCTGGAGATCCTGAAGCTTTATATTGGACTACAAACTTTATGAACACCACTGTTATGGTTTATGTCTAGTTGTCCCCCCAAAGCCTCAAGCAGTCATGGGGTGAGGACTTCTAGAGTTTGTGTTAACTCATGATCCACTGGGATTACGTGTGATCCAAGGCTGGGATTACAGGTTTTAGTACTGGTGGGATTACCCATAGGTGGGTAAGTACTGGGAAGTACCCATAGGTAGGGGAGGTGTGAGCACTTCCCCTACCCTGGGGCAGGTAATTTGCATTATAGTGTAAGGTGGGAAGCGAAGCTAGCTGCTTGAGCTGCTGCTGCCCCTCCCTTGCACTCTTGCTCTTTGCCACCACCATGAAAGGTTGCTTTCTGCTATGTGCTGCTCTGTGTTGGACCCAGCTGAGTAAGGACTGAATCCTCCAGTAACTGTGAGCTAAATAAAGCTTTCCTTCCTTCATTTTGAGTGTCGGGTATTTGTCCCAGCAATGAGAGAACAGTAACTAAAACAACCACCTTACTCTTGAGGGAGCAAAAAGGTGGGGTGTGGTGGTGCGCACCTATAAATCCAGCACTTGGAAGCTGAGGCAGTGTGGGCTATGTATAGAGTCCAGGCCAGCTTGAAGTACATAGTGAGACCCTATAAGAGAGAGAAGAGAGAGAGAGAGAGAGAGAGAGAGAGAGAGAGAGAGAGAGAGGAGAGAGGGGGGGAGAGAGAGAGAGAGAGAGGGAGAGAGAGATTTTAATACAGTTTAAAAATAACAGCAGATATTTAAAATTTATATATTTCAAAAATTTTAATCTATACTATGTTGTTTGACTCTCCTATAAGCCTAACAGGTAAGGAGGGCAGGCATCTCTGTTCTCATTTTGTGGCTGAAAGTGCACCACATGCCAGGGAGGCTGAGTGCTTGATCTCAGGTAGGCAAACTACAGAGGGGTGCGTGGGGTGACAAGGCTTGCAGCCACCTACAGAAGCTTCGCAAAGAAAATGCCTGGTAGGGGCTGGGGAGATGGCTCAGTGGAATAAGCGCCTCCCTGGCAAGTGCAAGGGCCTGAGTTCAGTACCCGGTTTCCCAAAAGAAAACAACAACAACAAACAAAAAACCACTGAGTAATGTCCCCGAGACTCTTTCTCACCTATACAATGAAAACAAATATAACTGTCCCATCCACTTACAATATGTACTGAAAATAAGTAAGCAACATCTTAGAAAAGCAATAATGTAGATTAGGCTTTCAAGTGCCAATCTGATGTCATGTGCGTGGGGGAAAAGGCACTCATGTAAGTAGTGTGTACCATAATGACGGCCACTGGGAGGTTACCACAGGTTTCAATGTGCCAACGCAATTTTATTCACAATTTAAAATTCTTCATTTTTAAAATTCGTTCATTTGATCACTTCAAATTAAATAAAATATCCTCCAAGTGTAGAAAAACAAAATAACTTTTAAAAGGACATAGCTCAACAACTTACTGGTTGATCCATTGGGTTTTTCACTAATATCAGATTAAAAAATAGCTTATTCATTCAGCAGAAAAGTACAAAAACAAGGTATAAAAAGTAAAGCCATATTAATATGCTGAGCTGTAAAAGGCTCAAGTCAACAACTTCAGACATTGCCAGCCCTGCAGATAACCCTCTACTATTATGGACTGCTGGACTATACTGGATTACTTTGCAGAATTCATGTACCTACAATATATGAATGGCAGTGGAATACCCATCTCTGATAAAAGTAAGCAAAGAAGGGGATATAAATGAAGGTCCATTTTATAGTATAAAAAATATATATATAAAACTGTTTATACAAAATAGTTAGCATAGGTATACAGCTACTTTCTCTTAGTTCAATGAGAAGAAAGTTTTGAACTGATAGTGTTTAGACAAGGCATCATGTCTGCCTCAGGTACTATGAATAACTACTACAAAGACAACAATATGCACTATAATAATTATTGTAACTGTCCTACTAACCTGTTTTGAAACTATCTCATTGTCACTTCCCTGTCAATAAAATTAATATATAAAAAAATTTGGTTAACAAGGTGGTCCATCTTTAGCAGCTTATTTTTCATACTATGATAAAATATCTTTACTAAAAAAGTTTATTCATAATCAAGTAGTTAACAATTTAAAATATCATATTACAGCTTTAAAGAATATTTTAACCAGCCATCTATAATTCCAACAAAAGAACTAACCATTAACTGATTGACAGCTTCGTGAAAACAAAATCTTCATTAACGTTTATTTGGCAACTTCTATGTGCCAGCCAAGTTTAAATTAGGTAGAAACTATCTTCTCCATTTAAAAAATGAGAAAACAGGCCAAGATAAAGTAAAATTAGGACTTGACGCAGTCGTTATACTATTTTCCTCCTACCTGTCAGAGCTCAGAACATGCTACCTAAGACATGACCCCAGGGCACACTGAGTACTTTAAGTTGAAGGTGGTGAGAACCTGAAAAGCAGAAAGGTCCCTCTGGCCTTCTGTTCTCCTCTCACAGACACTCACGTGACAGGTATCTTGCTGTGTCTCTAAAGAAAAGAATGAAGACATCCAGATGAACAGATGGGCCTCAGTGCACTCCCAGCCATCGCTTGAGGTCAGGCCTCTGTCCACGCACACGTGTCCATATGACCATTCTTCACCAAGCCTAAGTATAAAATTAGACTGCTCTTTTGAGTTTTGGGGTCTTCAGTTCTGAAGGTCTTGTGTCATATAAAACTTTTTTTTAAAAGTCTGAAGGCTTAGGAAATAGCTCAGTGGTAAATATTTGCTTAGCTATTTTCAACTGGGATGGGGAAAAGGGAAAAGAAGGAAGGGGAAAAAATAAAGAGACATACACGAGATGGCTAAGATAATTGCATGACTAATTTCTGTTAGTTCATTGCAAGGAACAGTTAGTGCTTATATTGTTGATCAATTTCGTATGCCTGTATCTCCTAATCTGAGCAGCTACTTTGAAGATAACAATAAGTAGTGTAACAACCAATGTTAATTTCCTATCATCTCACTTTGAAATTCTGCATTGTTTTTATTGTTTTTTTCTCTCTCTTTAAAAAATAAATATTTGCTTAGCCCATGGTTTTCATCCCAAGAGAGCTAAGTACAAGTAAATCATTGTTATACTTTTCTTTTGCTAATCTCTTTTTGTTTTGGGATATCAGATAACAGTCACATGATGGATGAAGAAATGAAACTCCTTTTGCTCCCTCACATATCCCGGATCTATTTTCATAAGATGAAGTGGAGCTTTTCTTTAAGGTTTTTTCATTTGTTTTGAAATTCAAGGAAACTGAGCACAATGCTGTTTGGTGATATCTTCCTGTAAATTTTTACTTAAGATTAAACACAAAAATGAAGGTTTGCAGAAAACAAGTCATTACTTTAGGAATCCACAGAAAGCATAGTTCTGTCTCAGAATTCCCGAGGGTGGGCAAGATCTGGCCTTGAAGGAGTGATTGACATTTAGAGTTCAGTAGAGGCAACTTCTCAGTGGAGTACAGAATCCCTTGCACACTGAAGACTTTCACTAACTTTGTGTCCCCCTTGAATGAGAGGGTAGACAAGTATTCCTTAGTGCTTTTATTTAGGATGTATTAGTGCTTTCGGTTCTGAGAGAGAATGAGGGACAAAACTTCTACCATGGCAAATAAACCAAGGAATGCCTTCCCTGAAGGCTAATAAGTGTACCTTTTTAAAAACATAGAACATTTAGTTAATTTAAATGATCACATCTGTGATTCAAAATACATCTGGCCTTCCCCAAAACAGCTGGGCCCAGCAGCCAAACTGGCGAAGGCTGAATACATTGGAGCAGAGAGATAATTGGTCTCAGAAGAAAAGGTTTCAAACACTGAGCTATTCAACATTATTTCAAGGAGTGTCTCTGGAGGGAGCTTGATCTTGACATGCCAGTCTTTTTCTTGTGGTGTCCTCTGCCTGCACATGAAGACAGTGACAGTTAGCAGGGGAGCTGGAGAGAAAAGCTCCCCGAGCACTTGCAAGAGATCCAGTCCCACGGCAGGCAGACCCCCGTCAGTCAAAATGTGGTTCCTCGTGTCAGCCCACTTTCTTCAAAGCAAGCTCTGACTCTGTGAGCAGAGGAGGACCATTTGAAGGAGCATCATGCAGATTAGTGAGAGGTGAGCTTCCACGCTTCCATCCTGCCCACAATTTCCAGGCCAGGGTCTTAGGATCCCTGGGAAATGGAATGACTCCTGTCAAACTAGATTTCTGATGTTCTCAAAAGCAACTCTGGTGCACAGAAGAGTCAATTCACAGACGAGTTTGCTTTTAAATATTAACAGTTTAATAAAGTTATGCACTTAAAACTTGAGTTTTTGCCTAGACTTGTAAATCTTAATCTTTTATGTATAATGTTGGCAAAGTTCTGTAGGACCCTACGTTCATGTTTAGTGCCACTTACAAACTTGGATCATTCATCTGCTTTAAATATTTGAAGCTGCTTTTACAAATTTAATATGATTTCCTCCCTTTTAAGTAGTGTGTTTAAGAAACTTTTGCAAGTTCTTAATTCATTCCTAGAAATCTACTGAATTTAACATGAGTCTTCTGCTCATTTAACTAATGGATCTCAACTTGTGGTCCTCAGGCCTGCATCTTCAACATGATCTGGGAACACATAGGAAACATTAGATTTCTCCCTGGATCCCTTTTTCTAAACCATGTTTTTGGTACCAGGGATTGAACTTGGGACTTTACACTTGCCAGGCAGGTGCTTATGCTACTGAGCTATCTCCCCAGCCCCAACTCCTTAGGTGTCCTGAAAAAGACTGGAGATTGACCCTGATGAGCAACGTTTTCGCAAGCTGTGCAGGTGATTGTGATGCATGCTAAGGTTCAGGACCAATGATTTTTGTGTTTCACTCTCATACACAAATTTACAGCATTTCAAGTTGTTATCACAGGTCTAAACCAATCCCTTAATTATAGGTTTTCTATCAAGTCACATTTATGCAATTAGAAAAACCTGATATGTCAAATTCCTCTACATATTTTTGATGTCTAGCTCATATTTTTCTTTTGAAATCTAACATTAAACATATGGATTATAAAAGGTATAATTTTCTGAATTTTAAAAATGGGATTGGCCCCCTCAGGAAATGATTCTGATATTGGTTATTAAGGGAATTAAAATTTAAATAACCTTCTTGCCTCCAGGAGGTCACTAATTCAGCTGAGGATCTAGGTCTATAGCTGGTCACATAAAGGTGAGTCCCCTTTATAGTCACTGGATCACAGAACTCTACATTTACTTATTTTTATGTATTTATTTTTCAGAACTCTAAATTTAGCAAGAGCTGTGGTCACCTTCGCTTACTACTTTGGATGACTGATGTCTCATGCCCAGATTTTCTAGGGAAATTAAGAGCCCACAGACTTAAGGTAAAGCACATGCTGAGCTCTTGTTAATCAATTGATTATTTTTTTTTTCTTTTCTAGATCCATTTCTTTCTCTTCCTATGAGTATGACACCTGGTTTCCATCTCTAAATTACTGCTAGCTGGATTCAGAGAAGACTGTCCAGCTCTACACAGGCTGTTTCTATGACAGTGACATGGAATCTGCAAAGTCAAAACAGGGTGAGGTGTCACGGCTTCCTATGATAGACTGACTAGAGCATCCAACTGTTACTCTGCTGGCAACTGGTGCTCAGAAGTTCTATAGGCTCCTTCTCTAGACTTGTTAGAGTCTTTCTCCTGCATTGGCTCAGGCAGCCCTCCCTCACCCTCAGATCTATTCCCAAGGCCATCAAATCAGAAGCTGCTCATTTCCCACAAGGAAAACAGAATATAGTGTATTCTGGGCTCTATGTCTGGATCTTGTTTGAAGAACACAGCTATAGCAATGGCCATGATCACATGTGTATTGAGGCTGAGAAAGTGATACATCAAAATATAATACTATTCCAGGGTCAGGTCCAAGGAATATCCCCAAAGCCCAAAGAGGAGATGAGGCCTCAACTCCTTGCTTCACCCCATGGAATAAGGATGTGATGCTAAGCCCAGAAAAGCATTTTTGAATGCAATGGGGGGAAGCATGGGCAGATGTACTGAAGTTAGAAAGCAATAGAAGATAGGAAAGGGGCTTTGATTTGAGTGGTTGAAGGAGACAGTCTGGGGAAGAGATTGGCCCGCTCACAAAAAAAGGACACCAGCCTCTATGGATTGAGTAGCTGAGGAGAGCAAGGATCCTTCTGACCATTTTCTTGGTTCTGCTTTGGCAAGATGATTCTGGAAGTATTCATCATGTGACTTCTCTTTCTGTGATCAGTGCTTCTGTTTGGAGCATTTTTGATCTAGGTTTAAGATAATAACTGAGCACTTCTGTGTATCACTGACTCTTCACTCAGTGTCCTCAGTCTTCACAGGGGATGGAAAGGTTAGGAAAGTTAAGGACTAGTCATTCTTTTTCTTGCCAACATTTAGATGAATGCTTCACAAATGATTAACTTGCCCTGTGTGCAGAGCTTGAGAAGGGATTTGACTTGAAGTTTGAAGGTCAGAAACAGTGCAGAGTGAAGGTCAAGCTTTGTTCTGTTCTTAGTTACCTACTGGGTATCCAAGGCCCAAAGGAAGGCTTTATTCTCTCTTGTTTCTTTACAGTAAAAAATTGTTAGGTCTTTGACTCAAAAGGGAGAGTAAATCCAAAGCTCGGTTTTAATCAGCAACAGGTGGCGGGGCCATGGGTTGTTTGTCCACTGTCCCTATGGTGGGATCTGACGCTAGCAGAACACCAGCATCCTGACTGTTTTAAATTAAAGACCTGTGGAGATCGGAAAATGGTGGGAGAAACTTGACTCCGATATACTTTCATCTGCCTTAAGACAAGACGACCAAATGAGAACACAGCTGCCCTCCATGTCCCCCACCCCACATTTTATCGGTCACAAGAGAGACTACGGAATGTAACCATACCTAGGCACCTTTGCACACGTTATCTCTTGGGCCCACTTGGATTCCAAAAGGACCCCTTTACAAGCCAAATATAGTCACCTTTGGTCCCTCAAAATCATTTTTTATTTCTATTCTAACTTGCCTCCACCCCCACATCTGGCCCTTTCTGTTTAATATTTTCTATGGTTTCTTTGCTTATACACATTAATAAATCTTGTGACTGATTTTATCCCGAGAATTTGTCAATTACCAGTTTATTTCAGGCATCAAATTCTGACCCTGAGGGAAGCACGAGCAGAGGCACTGGATTCGGGCGCAGTTCTGGAGTGCACCCCCTGCTTCCCGGCAGTGGTAGAGCTCCGGCACAGTAACTGCCTGTACGGTCTCAGCAGGCCCACCCAGGAGGGATCCCACAGTTACAATTTTCCCTCTTTTGCTTTGTTAACTGTTCGCCCTTCAATCCTAGCAATTTCAGCATGTATCCCTCTTTTATTTTGTGTTGTGTGTGTATGCGTGTGTCTGTATTTGGTACAGGGTCTCACTACGCAGCTCAGACTCATAGTGATCCTTCTGTTTTCAGTCTCTCCAGCACTGGGATTACAGGTGTGTGCCCCCAGGCCTGATCTCAGTGGCCAGCTCAGTGTGCCCAGGAATCGGGCCAGTGGGGCCAGGACAGCCTGTGGTGCCAGGGATCAAACCTTGCTCGATCTAAGTGGGTGCTTAGTCCACTGAGCTATCTCGCCGGTCCCCGTTTTCAATATATGCAATGATTATTCTTCTTAGCTGGCAGCTAATTCAGTGTCTGACTCCTAAATATGATTTTTGTCCCTGTATCCCAAGTGGATAACTTTTAGTTATTGTTCTCTAAAATCAGGAAGTCACAAAGAGGATCTTTAAAAAAATATCGTATTGAGAAGTAATGGGGTGTGGAAGGAAATGAGGATCAATCCAAGGGGAACAAGCAGAGGCTCCTTATTCAGAGCTAGTGAGGTAATTAACCACTGTAACTTGTGCTTTGGCAGAGGCTCAGAGGCAGGTTCGGGGCTGGGAACAATTTAGGATGGAGAGAGGAAAGGCTTCAGGTGTGTGCTGAGTAGAATCCACTGGCGTGAGAAACGGTAGACCGGCTAATTAGGAGTGGGCTTTCCTCTGTGATCAATCAGTGGCACACATTTGGGTTGCTAGAGTTGGTCCTCAGCTGAAAGGAGGCTTGAAAATTAGAGAAGCTGTGAATTATTAATCAAGTCCTGGCAATTTTGGCTAATTGTTACAAATGTTGTTTGACTTCCTGTATTTTCACTAGGCAGAGCTGTAAGTTTTCTTACAAGTCTGAAATAGCAGACTGGTTTCCTGGGCTGATTCTCACAGTCTCAAAACAGGTTGCTGCTGGTTTGGGTTGAAAAATCTATTTTTCTGTATGGCCTGGCCATTGTCCCTTTGTATATGAAGTCTCTCAGGGACACTAACTTTGAGGCAGCCTCCATTAGTCACTGTTCTCAGGAAAAATGTTCGGTCTAGGTCAAGGTTACCAGTTTGGAGAAAAGAAAAGCATGACACATTTTGGATCTTTTTAAGCACTTCAGGTCAGATTATGATCCATATAGGCAGCGAGGGTGATAACAAAAGACAGATCTTGTATTTCACTTTAATGCCGGTGTGAGAGCTAACAGTTTCATCAACCTGAGTCAGAAAGCCCAACTGATTGGCACAGCAAAGTTCTGGATGGGAGGGAATGGATTTTCTGAAGATGGAGATGGGTCTGAATGGCACCAACCAGTGGGCTTGCAGCCTGAATGGGATTAAAAGGGGAAAGCAGAAGGAAGGCCTACATTTTTTCCCCCCCAGGGGAGCTGTAGTCTTTGGTTTTGTCTTGAAAATCTGACTCCTGGGCTCTAGCACAGATTTTTCAGCCTTGCATTACAGATGATTGTGGTTTCCTGCTAGGAACTCACACAGGACTCTGCAGTGAGCTCTGGGCTTTCAATATCTGACTGGATCCTTGGCTCATTGCTGTGTCTGACTGGATCCTTGGCTCATTGCTGAGCAGAGCCCTTTTGCACCCTTCTACACTTGACTGCAGGTGGTCAGGTCATTGTACCACTGTAAGCATGTACTTCTGTCTCTGTCTCTCTGTCTCTGTCTCTCTCTGTCTCTGTCTCTGTCTGTCTGTCTGTCTCTCTCTCTTTCTCTCTCTCTGTCTCTCTGTCACTTCTCTAGTGAGCACTGACAGAGCCAGAAACTAAGAGTTTCCTTGTCATTCAACCTTTTCTTCAGATTCAAATTTCTAAATAGAATCCAGGAAAAGGTGGAAATGAATTTTTTAAGTAATACCTAAGTTGATGATTTGTTTATTTCTTGGATAACCATCTTCCCCCATCGTACTTTGAGGAGTTTGCACAAATTTTCCAGTATGCCCTGAATAATTGTGCACATATTTTATCTGTTTGTTGATTTTGTTTAAAATCCTTGTGAGACTGTCCCAAAGGATAATTAACAACCGCTTCAGCGTATAATCACATTGTATGGCTCTGCGGGTGTTCCTGTCTCTCTTTGCATGACATAATTGTAAATGAATGGGGTCCCAGAAATGTTGTTTTCATGACATAATTATAAATGAAAATACATCTGTGCTCAGCACATGCGTTTTGCCCCATGCAGGCGATCCTGCATTATGTCTCCTGTAGCTGAGAAGTCATGGTTTGTTAAAAATCCAATATACTTTCCACTGAAAAGTCATTGCTTCTGCAACTATTTTCTATTTTGTCAAACCAGCTCTCGGTTTTCACATGAACTCACGTAGTATCATGGACACAGAGTGGAGAAAGGGAACATGACAGCCAGGGCATGAACTCATTGGCTGTGGCCAAGACTGCAAGGAAGTGTCACCACAATGTCCACTTTTTTGAAGTTTCTGGATTAATGCTGCAAAGCTTTCCAGTGGCACTTGACAGCTATTTTCTGCTTTGTGTTTATATTCATAAATAATCAAGATCCTCCTCACTTTGTGGAAATGAAAACTTCTGCATGGTGGAGTCTTCTGCTTATTGAGAGATTTGGCTGATTCTTTGATTTTTTACTACTACATATTTTCAGTCCAGGCAGTTTAAAATCTTCTTGGAGAACATGTCCATGGACATAAAACAGCCTGTTTCTTCTTAAAATCCCCTTCCTCTCCCTCCTGCCTCCGTTCCTTCCCTCCTCTAAATCTCCTCTGGTCATTTTCATTCGCACTGATTTTATTCGTCTTAGCTCATTGTTCTTGCTGATACATTAATCCTAGCACCCACTTACCATGTGTAAGGTTTACATTCACTGAGGTCAACTGTTTCCCATTGCTTGTGCTGGCCTGGTGACTTCTCAGCTTCTGTGTCTCTTGAGGATGTTATAGCTCTGCTCAAGGGCCCTCACATTTTTGCCCCTTCTGGAGATAAGAAAGATTCCTGTCATTTGATATCCTTGACACAAAAGCAGGAGCTTCAAAGGAGGACTAGGAGAGGTGGGTGCTGGGCGTGACTGTCCAGCTGTGAGCCGTGCAGTTCGTGGGAAGTCACTCCAAAGCCACTGGCATTCCTAGAGGAAAGCCCCATGAAATCTGTCTCTAGACATGGCATCTGTTAAAGGAACATACACATTTTTAAGGAGTATGTGCTTGTACTGGCTCCACGACCACAACTGTATGCTGCCTCACACTCCCAGGGACACCACAACGCTAAAGCAAACGCAGATGCCTCTGTCGGCCGGCTGCTCTGTGAGGCTCAGCACGTACAGTGACAAATTTCTGGTGGAAAAGGAAAATGTGTCTCTTTTTCTTGGTGTGAAACTCTGTTTTTGCTAAAATTGAAATGTAAATAGTAGTCTTAGGAATGTATTTAGTGAAGGACAATTTTCGTTGTGAATTCTCATCTTTTTCTAAACTAATTTTCTGCCCACACCATTTGGCCTATGGCCTGACCCCCTTATGGATACAAGTAAGTTTTGCAATAGGACAGAAGAAATAAAGATAGGTAGAAAATAGACAAGGAAAATCATAATTTAAATTTGTACAGATAAGAAAAACTACAGCTTTAGGACACAAAGGTATCCAAGGTTACAATGTCTCTTAAAATAAATTCCTAATGCAGTAAATTGGGGCTATGGCTTTTGCATACAAATTGAGCCTGTGCTTTTCCTCCATTCCCAGGGAAGCTGCATTGTTGGGTGGGGAACGTGTGTCTAACTGTAAACATACAAGTGGCTGACAATGGGACCTAGCCCATGACATGGGTATCTTGGAAGACAGTAGAACACAAGTGCCAGAACAGCTATTGGAAGATACTTGTGGGACAACATCAAATCCTACAGACCCAGACCACAATGCACCTGTCTCTTGAGGAAACACCTCCTTCTCTGACTGTACTTCCTTCTCTCTGCCTAGAAAACCTTTCTATGACTCCCACCCATGCATCCAGAAAATTCTTTTTCTGTGATGGAAGCCAACAAACATGCCACCTTCTCCATGGTGGAGTCACTTGAGGTCCCCATCTCTTCTTTGGTGTGGAACTCTTTGGTCTCCAGGAATCCAGTTTCCTTTATCACCCATCAAATCCCTCTGTAGTTTTAATGGGCAGAGAAAGGAATTTTATCTTGACCCTTTCAGCAGGGTTTTATATTTTTGTTCATAGCTATCTATCTATCTATCTATCTATCCACATATATCTCCAATTTTTTATTTTCTCATCCAGCATGACCTCTGCAGTGATCCCTGCCCCCGCACCTTCTGGCTCTCATTCCATCTCCACCTCATGTACAAAGCATCCTGCAGTGTTGACACATGGGGCACTCAGCCTTGCTTCAGAGAATGTGACAGAACACTCAGGCTGCCAAATTCCTGATGGTCAGAGAGGTCTCGCCGAAGACCAATTTAAACTGGAAAGTACATAAGCTCCACCGGGCTGTTTCAAAGTTCATGTGGCTTTTGCACTAATCCTCTTAACATATTAGGCCAAGTGGACTCCCATTGCACAATGGCGGAGGCACAGAGGCCTTGCCAGCGTTTGTTTACATTTCCCTGCATGACAGAGTGCAAGCCACCTCACTGACCTCTCTAGATGCTTCCCTCACCAGCATGGCCTGCCCCAAGGTGACTCAAATTGTTCGTAGGGCAAACTGCTTAGGCTGGTGTATTAAAAGATTTTCTATGACGTTGCTTTCCCCAAGCCACAGAACACTTGCAGTTTGTTGGCTTAGTTTGTTCTTTTCTTCCTTTCTTCCTTCCCTCCTTCTTTTCTCTTTCTCTTTCTTCTCTCCCTCCCCTTCTGCAAAGGATAACATCTTGGCTGTCGACAAAGTAAGCATTTCCAGTATGAGTGTTTATTGAAGATGAATTCAGTACCCAGCACACTGTTTTGCTCTCTAATAAACTCATGCTCAGCAAAACTCTTGCAACTGCTGTGACTTCTTGCAACAACTTCTCAGCTTCTATAGTTGGGAAATTTCTTTCAGCATCATCCATCTTCTAAATAGTAAAGCAGGAAGAATTCAAGGTTATGAAGAGATGATGAGCTAAAAATAGCTCCGCTTTGTCTTCTTTTTTAAAATGTATTTAATACAAGGGCTACAGGGTCTCACTACACAGATCTGACTCATAGTGATCCTCCTGTTTTCAGCCTCCTAAGCACTGGGATTACAGGCATTTGCCAGCATGCTCAGTCTCAATCAGAGTCTCTGCATGACCCAGGGGTGGGGCTGGCACACGGGGAAGCTTCAGACTACATTTTTTTGGGGGGTGAGTAATTCAACAGAGATACATTTCTGATTACAAAAGAACTTCTAGTTCTCAGATATCCAAGATACTATCAGAAAAAAAAAATCCATAGTTCTTTTTTTTTTTTTTTTTTTAATAAGCAGAGTATATTTATTGGGAGAAAGAAAGCTGTTGTCCGAGAGAGGGACAGGAGGGGGGCCCTGAGTGAGTGATCCCTGGGAAACTGTCTCTTCCAGGAACTTTTATAGAAGAAAACCATGTGGTAAGGTGGGTGTAAGGTGGTGGAGAACATGGGAACTCACATGAGGTGGGACAAAACGATGGTCAACCAGGGAGATTACAAGCACCATTGATCAGGTAAAATTGATTAAATCCAGTACCAAATGGGAAAGCGAGTCACACAGCAAGTGAGCATGAATTCGGGACAGGGTCTCCTCCTTTTGGGGGTTGGGCTAGTGACTCATTTGGGCTCTTTCAGGTGATTGATACCTATTTAGAATATCAATCCCTGATGGCCATCCCTAGGGAAGTATGTAGCTGTATTTGTTTCCTTTTTTGTCTTGATGTCTGGCCCATAGGGAGTGTCTGTCTCTTCCAAGTTGCAAAGTCACCTTGTCTTTCATCTCGTCTCCTTGAGGGCCTGGCCCTGTCTGACTGCCTATAATATTTCTATCTAATTCAGCTGCCTATAACATTCTCCCCTCTGAAGAAGTAACCTGAACCGTCATGAAGGAACCATGTCCATAATCCTTTGAACAAAATACTTATGTGAGTGAAGTTTTACAAACCAGAAAATAAAAATCATTGAAAAGTCTTGAAATCTGAGGAAAGAGAGGCATTCAAGGGGAAGAAGACATATTCAGGAACTTGAATCCTGGACCTGCTCAGACGAAAGCTGGCTGTGTCACCTTGGACAAGCTATCCTGCACCCCTGGCTACAATTTGTGTTCTCATACAATGTCCAGATACAATTAGTATGATCCAAAGGTGACTTTTAGTTTAAAAATTTGCGGTCCTAACAACATATTCATGATGACCTTCCACTGAGAACGTTTTTATATTCAAACACCTGTGTTACATGCTACCCTTACCTGTTTTAGAATGCTCAGAAGGTAGGGATAATTAGCTCCACTTTGAAGTTGTACAAACAAAGCTTAGGGAATTATTTTCCTAACACCACACACTTGTGAGTCGGTGGAGTTGAAATTCATTTTCCGATTTGTCAAATTTCTGAGTTACTTCTATCGTTGTCATCATCTCCCCCTCCCCCTCCCCCTCCTCCCTCTCTCTTTCTTCTTTAATGTATTTGGTACAGAGTCTCATTTCATACTTCAGACTCATAGTGATCCTCCTATTTTCAAGCCTCCCAGTGCTGGGATTATAGGTGTGCCATCATACCCCAACTTGGGTAGCCAGCTCAGTGCGCCTGGGGGCAGCGTCAGTGTGGCATATGGTGCCGGGGATTGAACCCAGTCCCTGCACTTGCCTAAGTAGGCACTTAGTCTGCTAAGCTATCTCACTGGCCCTTGCTTCTGTATTAAGTATGCTTTATTACAAACTCACAGTTGTCGAAAACTTTGGTGAGGGCTGATAAATACGGGGAAGTAGTCACAACTGGCTATTTGCGTGTCACCTTTCCCTCTGCTACCATAGAAAATGCTTGTTTTGCATGTCAAGGTAGATTAATGCTATAGAAATAGAGGAATAGCATCTACAATTGTTCAGATTCAGGAGACAAATTCTAGTTGAAATGAAGAAGCTAAAAAATGGAAGTTGAAGTACTGATGTGTAGGCCATTAAGTTTAAAAATCTACTCTAGACTAGAGGGAAAATATAAAGAAAAACAAACAACCAATCATTTTAAACCAAGTTTAATATCTTGTCGAAAGAATGAAAAACTTCATATGCTTCTGGAAAATCTTTCAGCCTCAAATAAACACCTAAAACAAGAGTCTTGGTTGAAAAAAATAAAAATAACAATGCGAGGCTTTCTACATATTTGACAATGAGTCTCAGTGTCTCTGGTATTCATAAAATTTCTAGGATGACTGGGCCAGAGAGAAAGTTCAGCAGACTAAAGCTCCTGCTCAGGCAAGCACAGGGACCATGGTTTGATCCATGGCACCACAGGCTGTGCCAGCGCCACCCACGGGGCATGCTGAGCCAGCAACCAAGTCCAGGTGTGGTGGCACAGGCCTGCAATCCCAGTGCTGGGTAAGCTGAAAACAGGAGGATCACTATGAGTCAGAGATGTATAGTGGGACCCTGTATAAATACATTAAAAAAAAAAAAAGTTCAGGAGGATGGATAGAATAATCAATACATTTCTGTCCTGAGTTGGAAACTCCAGGTTAAAATGATCATAGGGCTGAGGACAATCAGACCTGTCCTGGGAATTATGCAAGGCACAGCGCTGGCCTTGGAGTGAGTGGAGTTCCTGACACAGCACACCTGACGAGTGCTAGGGAGAAGAAGGGAAAGGATCTTGCTTCTGTCTCTTTGTGCTGTGAGACTAGTCACTCCTACTACAAAGTAGATGACTACGTGTGACATATGGAAATACTTCACAAAGTTTCTGCCACCTAGTAGAAACTGAAATATCTGATCTACCTTTGTCATCCTTTTATGTGTAGCTCAAACCTCTCACTTCAATGCTAGTGAATTCTGTGGAGGTCAGAAGGTGCGG